AAGCCTTGGGTTAAGATCTTGGATGGCTGTGCTCTAGGTATATGGGTAGACAGGAATATGCAGTAGACAGGCTTTTATTGGTCTGCAGTTTAGTTTTGAATCATACTGATCTCTAAAATTGGATTGAGCTGATTACACAGTGCTATCCTCCAAAGAACCTGGCAGAAGCAACAAATATCTTTCCTGGAAGAAATAGTCTCGTCAGCTTCAAATTATATCTACAAGATTTTGAAAATAGAATGTTAGTTATAAAAAAAACAGGAATATAAGTTGTATTTTGTCAAACGCTTTGTCTGCATTTATTGAGATGATCGGATTTTTCTTTTTAAAGTCTTTATGTGGTGAATTACATTGCTTTTCAAATATTAAACCAACCCTGCATTTCTGTGATAAACCCCATTTGGTTATGATATATTATCTTTCTTATATATTGTCAGACCCAATTTACTAAAATTTTAAGATATTTCGTACCTGTATTCATGAGGGAATTGGTTTATAGCTTTCCTTTTTTGTAATGTTTTTGGCTGGCTTTCCTATCAGGTTTAAAGCTGGCCTCATAAATTGGGAGGTATTACCTCTTCTTCAATTTTGGAAAAATGTTTCTGTAGAATTTTTCTTCTTTAAATGTTTAGTGCGGTGAAGCCTTTGAAGCCTCTGATTTTCTTTGTAGGAAGTTTTTAACTACACATCAATTTCTTCTATGCATGTAGGGTTATTCAAGTATCTCTTTCTTCTCGAGTGAGTTTTAGTAGTTTGTTTCCTTTAAGGAATCTAAGGAATCTGTCCATTTCACCTAAGTTATTGAATTTTTGGCATTAAGTTAATATTCCCTTATACCTATAATATCTGTAGAATTGTAGTAATGTCACTTCTCAGTTTTTATATTGGTAATTTTTATCTTTTGCATTTTTTTCGATTAGTCTTATTAGAGTTTATCATTTTTACTGATTTTCTTAAAGAACCAGCTTTTACTTTCATTGACTTTTCATTGTTTTTTATTTCATTAATTTATGTTCTCATCTTTATTACTTCCTACCTTCTGTTTACTTAGAGTTTAATTCGCTCCTTTTCTAGGTTCTTGTGGTAAATATTAAAGTCATTTATTTGAGAACTTCTTTTTTAATACAGACACTTAGTACTACATATATACCTTTAAATACTGCTTTAACTACATTTCATAAATTTTAATATATTGTATTTTCACTCTCATTTTGTTCAAAATGCTTTTTAATTTTCTTTTTGGTTTATTTTTTGATCCATGGGTTATTTAGAAATGTGTTATATAGTTTTAAATATTTACAGATTTTCCAAATACTTTTCTGTTATTGATTTTTAATTTAATTCCATTGTGGCCAGGTACCAAATTTTATATGATTTTAATCCTTTTAAATTTATTGAGACTTGTTTTAGTCTAGAATATGGTCTTAGTAATTTTCTGTGTTCATTTGACAAAAACATATATTCTACTATTGTTGGGTGGAGTGTTCTATAAATGTCATTTAGATCAAGTTGGTTAAATATTTAGGGTTGGTTTGTACTCTTGATGCATGGACTCATTTGTCACTTTGAAGTTACCTTCTTTATACTTAGAAATATTCCCCAATGTCTAATTTGCCCATAAATTTTAGCCTAATATTTCAGACTATTTAATTTACTTCAGCCTCTTTTCTAACCTTATTTCCTCCTCTTTTCATAACTATCCTTTTGAGTTAAACAAAACCACCAACAATGCCCAATAGCAAAGCAATTAAGAGCATGAATTCTAGAGTCAGGCTACCTGGATTTAAATCCTAGTCATCTACTTACTTTGGGCAAGTTACTCAATCTACCTAAACTTTAGTTCTCTGTCTGGAAAAAAAAAAAAAAAATAAAGAAAGGTAATTATAGTGCCTACTGCATTGGGTTCTTGGAAGGATGAAATGAGATCGTGTATATAAAGCGCTTGGTGCCTGGCACCTTGAGAGCAGCCACTGTTGGTAGAAACAGTAGGGGTGGGGCGGGGTTGGGGGGGGAGGTGGTTGAAGATGCTGTTATTATTTGCCTCTCATTTCCATCTCCATGTTCTTTTCTCATATTCTTTTCTCTGCATGGAATGTGGTACTTCTCATTTGTACTTGTCTAAATTTTATCCATCATTAAAGATTTTCCCTTATTCTCTTACCACTTCTGTGTTACCACCTTACTTCCAGTTATTTTTCCTCTTTAGAATTCCCTAACTCTTTTAGTTTAGAATACTTATTACTTTTCATATGCTTACCTATCCACTCTCTTTTAAAAGATGAGAAGTTCCTTCAGGATAGATTGTGTAATTCAATTTTCACATCTTCTGAAGCATAGCATCTTACAAAGAATTGTGCTAAAATGTACATGCTGAATAAAAATATTAATTCACTAGAACCAATAGCCCTTTGGTTCCAAGGAATTTGCTCTTCTTTAGAAACTTTTGTAAACTCTCCATTAATCATAGGTACTTTCGGAGAAAAAATTATTTTTTTGTAATGAAAATGCCACTCGTGGGCCCAAGGAGACTAATTAAAGAAAAAGCATGATAGCAGAAGACAATAATAGTAAAAACAAAACAAAAACTCACCACATGACACTGTTTTGGATTCAGAAAAACAAATTTTATTCTACATTGCCTCTCATTTGTTATTGCTCCAAATCCACTATTCCTAATGGTGACTATCATGGTGCCAAATTGAACTGTGAAGTAAGCACTTGTGGATAACAATGGATATAAAATCTGTTTTTCTGAAGAAAAAAGCATATAAAATAAAACATAATACATTAAAATGTGATTAAAGGTCTCATTCAGTCTGTTAAAATGTGAAGTTGTCCTTAAGGAGTGTTACCCTCGTATTGTGTGCAGATGGAGTTTTCTCTGGATAACCATTCCCCCAGGAGGAGAGGGTGAAGTGGGAGGGGATCGCCACTTGAAAATTTCTTTCCCACAGTGGTTTTTAGCATAATGCATGCCTTGTCCTTGTTAAAGGAGGCTTATCATTTGCTTTCATGCCTTTAAAAATATTTATGGTCATTTTGAAAAAATTTATAAATGGTATACTGTCATTATAAAGAGTGTGTGTGCTCCAAGGCCAAGAGGCGAGTGTTAGAAACTTAATAAATATTTAAGTTATATAGACATATTATTTACTCCTTAAATAGATGTTGACCAGCACATTAAAAAATGGTAATATTTTCCCATTCAAGAATAGCCATATTTTACTTGACCATAAAAAGCCAATGTTTTCTACTATAATACAGAATATTATTTGAGTTTTTTAGCAAGGTAAACTTGTTTTGTATACTTAAGCGTGACTTAAATAATCTATTGTCAAGTGGTTTTATGCTTGAGGCCCACATTAAGGATTTTTTTTATTTTTATTTTTTAATTAGAAGCCAATTCTTCCTCACTGTTGAGGGAGCACCATGAGGAGAGATGGAGAAGGGATGCAAAACATAACGAATTGGTAGACCAGTGGATAGATTTTTAAATTGTAAGATTTTTTTTCTCTACTGATGTAAAACTTGGTATCAGTACTTTACAAAGGCATTTAAATTTTTGTTTTCATATCAAAATCTCAAAGAAATTGATTGAGAGACCAAGCAGTAAGTTTGGGCACAGAAGAAATTTAAGAAAATGTTATATTAGCATTTTCTGCTGAACTTGAAGAATACTTTTTTGTGATAATGTGGGTTTTGTGTTTTTATGAACTGTTTAGGGAAGCTTTTCTGCTGGAGTGGCTGAATATAAGTTGCAAAGATGTAAGCCCTTCCTTATATTAATGTTCCACCTCATTAACTTCATTGTTAGGGCTTTTACACTTCAGTGATTTAAATAAAATAATCTAAATGTAGTTCTGTTGTCCTCTCTTTCCATCTGTCTTCCTTCTGAGTCTAGATGATTATGCAGTTTTGTGTTTTCATTTGGACTCTTGTTAATTCTATTAAGTGCAAAATGGTGATGAAGGGAAGCTATTGTGTAACTAAATACAATATTGAAATGTCTTATGCTGCTGAAGCCCTGACAGATAAGGAAATGTGTTTGTGAAGATAATCTAGTCACTTCTTCAACTGGTGTTTTATCATTTGTACCTTTGAGTTGGTCTTCAGAGGCCAGGAACTTCATAGCTTTAAGACTCCATTGTATTGTTGAGTTCACATTGGTGATTACAGTTGACCCTTGAACAACGCAGAAGGTAGGGGCATCGACCCCTGTGTAATCAAAAATCTGTGTGTAACTTTCAATTCCCCCAAAACTTAATTACTAATAGCCTACTGTTGACCGGAAGCCTTACTGATAACATAAACAGTCAATTAAAACATATTTTTGTATGTATTATATACTGTATTCTTACAATAAAGTAAGCTAGAAAAATATGTTATTGAGAAAATCATAGGAAAAGGCATTTAAAGTACTGTAAGTATTTATTGGAAAAAATCCATATGTAAGTGGATTTTGACCCATGTTCAAGGGTCAGCCGTATATATGAGCTTTCATATATATCCTCTGGTATTTATAGCCCTGGAACCTAAATAAGGGAGAGTTTTGCTTAAAAGCAAACTATATTGGTCCTTAAAAATGTTTTCTAAGCATTTTCAGGAAAAGTAGGAATTATGCAGTGAATTTCCAAGCAAAGTCACCTTGGCGAATATTTGCAACTGCTTGCAAATGGTAGACATATTTAGGCAGTAAGGTTTTTTCTACATGATTTACTGCCAGATGCGAGAACTCCTTAGCAGTATATAACCCAAATGCAAGTTAGATGTCTTTGTTAAAAATGTAGAGAAAAATAAGTTAACTAGAGTTCAGGGGAGTGAAGCTGTCATGTTGTCAGACATTTTGCATTTAAAAAGTTAATTACTAAGATAAATCATTAGATAATTTTATGAAGATTCATCTATATATTTAAATTGAGCAGTGAATTTTATTTTACATAAGTTTAGATATTGGTATGAGATATTGATGTTCATTTCTAACCATTTCTTTTATTTTTCAGGTCACCAGCGACTGGAACCAGCCACACTGTCAGGAATTGTGGCATTTATCCTTAGTCTTTTATGTGGAGCTCTGAATTTAATTAGAGGCTTTCACGCCATAGAAAGTCTCCTGCAGGTACTGTACTATTTTTGTAATTTCAAGTGACTGTGACTATTGATTTTACTTGTTACACAATTGATTTGAATTGATTTAGATATTAGTACAACTTACAATGTATGCTCAGATTCTGTATTCTTTATACCTGCCTTAGTCACCCCTTCCTCTAAAAACACTGATTTCAAAAAAAAAAATAGACCCCACTGATTTCTAGCTGGTTTCTTTGACTCAATTAGCACATATTTATTTATTATCTACTCTGTAGGAGGCACTGTTTATGGGTTCTCTGGGGACACTAAGATATGTGTGACATGGGCCCTGCAGTCTCAGAGCCTAGAGTTGAATCAGAGTGGCAAAGAAATGTACAAATAATTGCCAAGGACACAGAGTATAGAAGAGGAGCGGTCATTGTGAGTCAGGATAGGAAAAGGAGGCTTTGTGGAGGAGGGGTAAGCTGGACTTGGAAGGATCTAAGTAAACAGAGAGGAATGGAAGAAAGAAGAGGACATTCTTGGGCAGGTTTTTGTCCCACCTCTGTGTAATCCTAGTTAGCTACTTTTTCCTTTTTTGTTGGTGCCTACCTGTGAAACCACTGATTTCTTCAGGTATTGCCAACTATTTAGTTTTCAGTGGAGTTTCTTCCAGAGACTGTGGCTATCAGAATATATTAACTTTTTCTCTTATTATTTTTGTAAAATTTTTTAAACTTTTCTTAAAGTTTAGCACATTTCAGACTATAGCTTTTTTCCCCTTTGTTTCTACTCACTTTCTCTGAAGACTTTTTGACACTTCCATACTGTAAATTAGTTCTTTTTTGAGGTCAGCATTAAACTCATACAAACTCATTCAACACACCTTATATTCTCTTTTTAAATTGCTGTTACTTTGAGGAACACTCAGAGTACAATTCGGAGTACCCTCTGAATGTCCTCAGCTGTATGAAGCCAGTAGCAGAGGGTATCACAGGTTCCAGGCAGCTGAGCTGTCCCTCAATTATGACGTGGGGAAGAGCATCTCATGACTTCTCAATTCCTCTTCCAAACATCCTGGGCCTGCAGGTAAAGCCCCCCCTTCCCTTTAAGGCACAGGACCACTGGCTGTTGTCCCTTGGTGTTCTCGTTCTTGTTCCTCTTCCCTAGCCAGGTTAGCTTTATTCCAGTAGGAGTTTAATTTAGATCCAGTTAGTCAATGTGCCAAAAAGAAACAAAGGCAATTTGGAGACTGCCAATTGAAAAAAAACTAATAAATAAGAAACTCTTTTCCTTTTTTTTTTTAATTTGATGTAGTGGAAAGAATATTAGTGTTAGGTGTATGAAGAGTTGATTTTTGTTTGTGGAAGAAAGAGAGAAGGTTGGCTTCCGCTCAGTTACTGATTAACTCTGTGACTTTGAGTAGCCTCTCCTTACTTTCTGGTCCTCAGTTTTATTGCTCATCAAATGAAGGACAAGGGGTGGATTTGATGAGTATTTCTCAATGTATGGGACACATTTATCAGTGGTTACACAATAGATGACTTTAGATGATAGAGTGGTGAAGATTTTTAATTTTAAGAATTATGTATTTAATATATATTAATATATAATATCTATGGTAAGGGATACTAGTTCATATTGATAGAGATATAAAACTTTCCTTTCAAAATAATTTTAACAAAAGATCAACTTTATGAAATTTATTACATAAATAATGGTGTAATTAGTATTTAGAATTGGCAAAAATTGTGAAGGTGGTACTCGAAGGTTAAAATTCTCTGGTTAAAAAATTATCTGATTGTTTGAAATTAGCAAATTAATAAATAAGGGAAGTGAGCAGACCTGGGTAGAGAAAAACTTTTATGCCACACAACCTTACCATTCCTAACTCAGAAGACTGCATAAGTTGTGGAACCTGAGGCTCAGACCACATTACTTCTAACTTAAAACTCAGACAGTGCTGTTATATATCCAAAAAATATTAAAGGAAATTATTTCTTTCAGGCACTCAGATATTCCTATTCTTTCTCTTCTTGGACTGATTCTTTCCTTCTCCCTCTTCTTATTTACAAACCTCAAAACTAAGGAAAGTAGTGTAAACTACAGCATTTCATGCATTTGACCTACTCTACCTATTTAATGCCTGCCTTAATTCCTAAGAGTTTCATGTTCTCCCTCTGATCAGTAATGTCTTTGCTTCATCGCAGTTGTTTTTTAGGTTTCAGACAATACAGGCATACCTCATTTTATTATATTTCACAGATGTTGGGAGTTTACAAATTGAAAGCAAAAAGATTACAACATGTTTTACTATGATACTTTGTTGAGGTGGTCTGGAACCAAACCCCCAGTATCTCTGAGGTATGCCTCTACTCTGATTAAACTAAATCCCACTTACATGTAACTGACTGATAGTGCTGAGAGTTCTCAGAACATTTACATTTTAAAAAGATGTTATAGGCCAGTGTCTCTCATGAACATTGATGCAAAAAACCCCAACAAAGTATTACCAAATTAAATCCAATGATGTATAAAAATAATTATATACCACAACCAAGTGGGATTAATTCTAGGTGTGCAAAGCTGGTTCAGCATTTGAAAATCAATAAATATAATCCATCACATTATAAAGAAGAAAAATAATATGATCACATCAGTAGTTGCAGAAAAAACATTTGACAAAATTCAGCATCTATTCATGAACTCACAGGAAACTAGAAATAAAGGGGAACTTCTTTAACTTGGTAAAGAACATCTAAAGAAACCCTACAGCTAATATCATATTTGATGAGAAACTAGATGCTTTCTCCCTAAGATCAGGCACAAGACAAGGATGTCACCTCTCATCATTCCTATTAAGCATTTTACTGGAAGAGCTAGTAATGTAATAAAACAAGAAAAGAAAGCAGATGGTATAGAGATTGGGAAAGAAGAAATACAACTGTTTTTATACACAGATAGTATGATTATCTGTATAGAAAATCCCAAAAATCAAGTACTGGCACTCAAGTGATTATTAGTAAGGTCACAGAATTCAAAGTTAATACATAAAAGTCAATTGCTTTCCTATATATCAGCAAGGAACAATTGAAATTTGAAATTAAAATAACTATCATTTATATTGGCATCCTCAAAATTGAGGCACTTAAGAATAAACCTAACAAAGTATGTACAAGATCTATATAAAAAAAAGTATAAAACCCTGATAAAAGAAATCAAAGAAATCTAAATAAACAGAGATATTCCATGTTCATGGATAGGAAGATGCAATATTGTTAAGATACGGGTTTTTCCCAACTTAATCTATAGATTCAACACAATTCCAATCAAAGTCCCAGCAAGTTATTTTATGGATATTGATAAAATGATTCTAAAGTGTATACGGAGTGGCAAAAGACCTAGAATAGCCAATGCAATATTGAAGAAAAAAGAAGAGGACACACTACCCAACTCCAAGACTTAATATTAAGCTATAATAATTAAGACAGTGTGGTACTGGCAAAACAGTAGGCAAATAGATCAATGGAACAGAATAAAGAGCCGAGAAATATACCTTTAGAATATAGTCAATTGATTTTTGACAAAAGAGCAAAACTAATTCAGTAGAAAAAGGATATTTTTTTCAACAAATGGTGCTAGAACAAGAAAATGAATCTAGACATTCAGAAAAATGAATCTAGACATAGATCTTACACCTTTAACCAAAAAAGTTAACTCAAAATAGATTACAGACCTAAATGAAAAACAAAAAATATAAAACTTATGAAAAGTAACAGAAGACCAAGATAACCTTGGGTCTGGCGATGAATTTTTAGATACAGTACCAAAAGCATGATCCATGAAAGGAAAAATTGGTAAATTGGACTTAATTTAAAAACCTCTGCTCTGCGAAGGACATTAAGAGAATGAAAAGATAAGCTGCAGACTAGGAGAAAATATTTGCAGAACACATCTGACAAAGCACATGTGTCTAAAATGTACAAAGAACTCAAAATTCAATAAAAAAAAATGAGCAAAAGAACTGAACAGACACCTCACCAAAGTCGATGTCCAGGAGACAAGCATATGAAAAGATACTCAACATCATATGTCATTAAAGAATTGCAAATTAAAACAATAAGATATCGCTAAAGATCTATTAGGATGGTGAAATCCAAAGAAATGACAATGTTAAATGCTGATGAAGATTTGGAACAATTGTAACTCTTCATTCATTGCTGGCGGGAACGCAAAATGAGACAGTCACTTTGGAAGATAGTGCGGCTGTTTCTCACAAAGCTAAACATAACCATAAGATCCATCAATCATGCTCCTAGGTGTATTTACCCAAATGAGCAGAAAACTTACATCCACACAAAAACCTGCACATGAATGTTTATCTCAGCTTTATTCATAATTTCAAAAAACTAGAAGTAACTAAAATGTCCTTCAAAAGGTGAATGGATAAACAAACTGGCAGCCTGTACAACGGAATATTATTCAGTAATGAAAAGAAATGAGCTATCAAACCAAAGAGAAGACATGGCCAAATCTTAACTTCATATTGCTTAATGAAAGAAGCCAATCTGAAAAAACTACTTACTATATGATTACATCTATATGACATTCTGGAAAAAGCAAAACTATAGCGATAGTAAAAAGATTAGTGGTTGCCAGGGGTTTGGAGGGAGGATGAAGGGTTGAATAGTTGGAGCATGGGATTTTTAGGGCAGTGAAATTATTCCGTATGTTACTGTAATGGTGGTGAAGTCATTATACATTTCTCAAAAATTATAGAATGTAGAATACAAAGAGTGAACCCTAATGTAAACTATAGGTTTTAGTTAATAATGTGTCACTATTGGTACATCAATTGTAACAAATGTACCACATTAATGCAGGATGTTCATAATAGAGGAAACTGTGCAGGGGAAAGAACAGGTATATGGGCACTCTGTACTGCTTAATTATCTGTAAACCTAAAACTGATCTATAGATAAAAGTCTATTAATTTAACACACACACACCCCACATTAAAACAAAGACTGGAAAGGGAAGAGAGTTCTT